TCAGAGTGTACAACAGTGGCCAGCAGCGTCAGAGTGAATGGTGGCAACTGTGAGTCAGTTGCGAGGCTGCAGCAGCAACTGAGGCATTGCTTGATGCCTCCCCCCCAACTCTGGTATGGGAGGTGAACTCATGTGAATGCACCTCTGAACTCTGGGCCTTCGCTGATCAGGGACAGCAACTGTATGTGGGGTGCAGTGGAGGGAGAAGGCAATGGCAGGTTAAAGGAACATTTGTTGGACTTCCATTTCACTCCGCCAGGTGAGAAATTGAGGCAAAGAACACTGCCCAACATACTATGGGGTGCAGGTATGCTCATAGTCACATGCTTTCAAATCATGTTTGTGGTATTTTTCCAAATTCACGTCAAGTTCCTTTCCCCTTTTTATTACAAGTTTTCTTTTGTTATACACAGACTCAGCACTTGAGAAAGGGGAAGTATTGCTTCTTAGAGGTGTCCAGAGATGGTGTTAAGTCTTCCCAGATTAGTGGGTGGGGGCTCGAGCCAGTTCTGTTTTGTATCATTAGGAGGAACCGGTAGATATTGAACCCAGCCCTCATAGCTGCTGTTTCCACCTGGCAGAAGGGTTACAGAGTTGAGCCATGCAGCTCAAGGGGTTTCACTGGGGGCTCAACACAAATGCAAGAGTTTTGTGTATTATCTGATTCTAAATATACATATAGAGAGAGAGAGAGAAGAAAAAAAAAACAGATGCAGACAGAAAAGGCAGCAGGCGAGGTCCAGAGAAGCACCAGTAACATGACCCTAATAAAAACCTAAGAGAAAGTGCTTTTGAGCAGAGTCCTGGCTAACAAGAGGCTTGAAACTGTGAGAAAAAAACTGCCTCCTGTTGTTTGATTTCTACTATGTTCAGGGAAACAAGACTTTATACGTTATTGGTAAATAAACAGGACTGCATCGAAGAAATATATGACTCCATCATCAATTTTTCCTCCTAACAGAAACAACCTGCAAAACCCTGAATATTGGCTAACTGCTTGGATCAAAAGCGGTAAATTTATATATATATATATATATATATATATATATATAGAGAGAGAGAGAGAGAGAGAGAGAGAGAGAGAGAGAGAGAGAGAGAGAGAGAGAGAGAGAGAGAGAGTAAGGGGAGACATGAGATCCATCTTTAAATTAGAAGTGTGCTGAGGAGGCAATATTTTAATTCTGATCAGAATCTCGATTAATTTTCGGCTACTTTAGATTTCAGGTTTCAGACTGAACAAGGACTGGGGCTTAGGTTTGATGGTGCTGAAATCTGGCAGGTAGAAGTCTCAACCTTCAGCCCAAAATGGAAGAAACTTCATGACATCACCTGACTTGATTTTTATTTCCAGTATCTTGAATGGTGGCAATATGACAAGATGAACCAGAGTCATGCTATTTCTTCCCCCATATGCTGCATTTAAACAAGATTTGGACAATATACTCCCCCTCTGGTTCGGGATCTGGTTTTGTGGTGTATTCAAATCTAATCGCATGCCCACAAAATATGGTGTAGAGGGTTCAGGTTTTTTATTCAGGCCCATCTATGGTATAGATATAAGAAAGAAGGATGTAAACTCCAAGGATGAAATCCTCGCCCCACTGAAGTAAATGGCAAAACTCCCATTGACTTCAAGGGGGCCAGGATTTCCCCACAAGAAGGGCGAGGAATTATTTAGGACAATTAACGATAGTATAACTAAAAGAAATGGGATGAAATTAACAGAGGTGAAATTGAGGCTCAATATCAGGAAAAACTTCCTAATAGTGAGATCGACCAGTGTCTTAAGGGAGATGACTAATATTGACCGGAAAGGCACTAGAAGAGATACTGTGTAGAAAAATTCTATGCTGGCAGGGAGATGGACTAAAGAACCTAAGAGGCACTTCTGATGTCTAATCTCTGTGATGAAAGAGAGTGTAATGGGAGAATGTAGCCCTTCTTTCTTTCTTTCACAAGTTGCAGATTGTATATGTTATGTAGATTTTTAGCTGTCCATTAAAAGAGTGCATTTTAAGAGTATTTTATAGTAGAAAGAAAGGAAATTATTTGCAGAGCCTTAACACCTTTAATGGCACCATGCTGGGAACACAGGGAGCCATCAGCATGAATGTAAACGTAGTGCATATTCATTAAAGAGGTAACCGCTGCCAGCATGCTTTCACCATAGTGGGTCTGTGGTCTCTAAAATGGTGCAGAAGTAATTCCTGAAGGACAGCATCCTCATGGGGGAGCGGTGCTCTTTCGCAGGTCTGCTGAGATCCTATTGTATGCATCCCCTGAAAAAAATCCTGATTCTGGGTGGCAGGTAGAACTGTTGTATCTCCTCTGTGGCCTTTCCTTCCTGATGAAAAGCATGGCATAATCCATCAGCTAATGGACTAGAAATGGAAGGCTTGTGAGATTAAACAGTTTTGTAACCCAGCCTTTTCTTTCAAATTCTACTTTCAGGTATTACTCAGTTCAAAGTGAAAACTGTCTTACAAAGCTATCTGCATAACTCAGGACAATAAATGCTTTTATTAAAGGAAAAGTTTCAGGTTTTTTAATTGACTTATTACATAAACTACAGAACAACTCATTTAGCATCCAGAGGTAACACAGGAACTTAAACTTTGGCACTTTCTAACTGAGGAGTGCCTGACTTTGCCACCTTAATGTTCTTTTAACATAGGTTTTTAGGATGTAATTATTGCAGAAATTCAAACACATAAAATACTTGGAGTTTGTACTATGTATATACTAACGGGTCAGTGAATCCTTGGAGCACTGTGTAATCAGTATTGAAATTGTTCTTTGAGGCAAAGTGACCATGGGTGTAGTCCTAAATGGGCCATGTCAAGGCTGCTTCCACACTCTGAACTTTAGGGTACAAATGTGGGGGCCTGCATGAAACTTCTAAGCTTAACTACCAACTTAGATCTGGTCCGCTGCCACCACTCCCAAATGTGCTAATTCCCTTCCCTGGGTAGCCTTGAGAGACTCTTCGCCAATTCCCTGGTGAATACAGATCCAAAACCCTTGGATCTTAAAACAAGGAGAAATTAACCATCCCCCCTCCTACCTCCCACCAACTCCTGGTGGATCAAGATCCAACCCCCTTGGATCTAAAAACAAGGAAAAATCAATCAGGTTCTTAAAAAGAAGGCTTTTAATTAAAGAAAAAGGTAAAAATCATCTCTGTAAAATCAGGATGGAAAATAACTTTACAGGGTAATCAAACTTAAAGAGTCCAGAGGAATCCCCTCTAGCCTTAGGTTCAAAGTTACAGCAAACAGAGGTAAACACCCTAGTAAAAGGTACATTTACAAGTTGAGAAAACAAAGATAAACTAACACGCCTTGCCTGGCTGTTTACTTACAAGTTTGAAATATGAGAGACTTGTTGAGAAAGATTTGGAGAACCTGGATTGATGTCTGGTCCCGCTCAGTCCCAAGAGCGAACAACCCCCAAAACAAAGAGCACAAACAAAAGCCTTTCCCTCCCCCCAAGATCTGAAAGTATCTTGTCCCCTTATTGGTCCTTTGGGTCAGGTGTCAGCCAGGTTACCTGAGCTTCTTAACCCTTTACAGGTAAAAAGATTTTGGAGTCTCTGGCCAGGAGGGATTTTATAGTACTGTACACAGGAGAGCTGTTACCCTTCCCTTTATAGTTATGACAGGCCACTACTGGAATGCCCCCGCTAGCGTGACCTCACGTGCACACTGTGTGTGGAGGACTCCATTTTGCTGTACAAAACGTCATCTTCCATGCAGTGTGACCTTGCATGTACGGTGCGTGTGTGGTCATGCTGTGCAGAGTGGCAAAAATGCCAGTATGCCATTCCAATATGAACCGGTCCCACTACAGCACAGGGGACGACACCTCTGTATACATAACCACATAAGCTGGAGGTACTGTGCAATTACACCACTAACCGATGGCATCAGATCCAGTTGCCAGCGAACATACTATGCCACAAATTATATCATTATTGCCTCTTATACACAGTGGCTAATGTGATCTTGTGGAACAGGCTTTAAATCAGTGGTGGGCAACCTGCGGCCACTGGGAGCTGCAGGTGGCCGAGCCAGTGGACAGTCAATGTAAACAAACTGTTTCACGGCCCACCAGTGGATTACTCCGACGGGTCGCAGGTTGCCCACCACTGCTTTAAATCTAACAAAAGTACAAAAGGGAACAATATGTTCCCCCACTTCAGCCTTGCAGATGCAGGCCAGTGGAGTCATGCCTGCACCCCTATTGTTTCCCTTAAGTGGCCATGTTCACCGCTGCTAGCACACCACTCCTGGGCTTGGAGTCTCCCACCTCCCAGGCAGGTGTCTTAACCACTGGACTACTGAGTCATTCTCACTCTCTCTCTCTCTCTCCCTGGCCCAAAGACTGTTCTGCTGTGAATAAATACTTAATACTCATTAGGCCAGAGAGGTAATGACAATGACTCTATAGTCAGGTGGTTAGGACACCCACCTGGGAAGTGAGAGACCGAGGAGCCAGTCCCTCTGCTCCAATGATTCTTTCATTATATATCCACAATGGAATAGCTTCAATAGGAGAGACTGAGGCAGCCCCACGTTAGAATATCCTATAGCTCAGTGATTAGAGCACTTTGCTGAGAGAAATGGGAGACCCCTGTTTAAATCCTTTCTGACCATCAGGCAGAGAGGGGGATTGAATCTGAGTCTCCCAGATCCCAGGTTAGTGCTCTAACCACCAAACTAAATGTTGTAAGGTAAGTGGTAGCACCACTGCCAGTTGTTTTATGTGGATCCAGGCAGCTGCCTAACTCATTTTCACAAGAAATGCATTAGGCTCCTAAACTGCCTAACTCCAGGGGATTTGAAAGAGGACATAACAATGTTGAGATTCATGGAGCTCAGAGGACGGTGCAACGGTGTTCAAGAACTGTCCAAAAAGTCTAACAGAAACAGAAAGTAACCAATGAGTATATTTATCATACAGCTAATTTTTACTAGAACAAAAAGAAGCACTTAACTTACTTGATTGAGACTGTGAACTCTCACCATAGTTTCTAATGGTGCTACCTAGAATACAAAAGAATGAAAAGTGGTGAATGGTAATACCATAAAGTGAAAGTATTAAAAACATCCAGTACCAACTGGGGACAGGTAGATGTGCCAGGGTGGGGAATCATGGGGGGCAATCTTCCCCTGAGACCATGGACGGCGGATAGCATAGGCAGGGGAAGGCTGTGCCTCCTCAAACAGCCTGGCATAGCCCCACCCACGCTCCGCCTCCAGTCCCTCTTCTGCCTGCTTCCAGTTCCCTTCCCGCTCTTCTGTGGCTGAGAGGCTGGGGCAGGCAGGCTGGGGCCGGTGCGCACAAGGCCCAGGGCTGGGGGCGCTGGAGCTAGGGCCATGCCGTGCTGCCTGTCCGTCTGCCAGGCACTGGGACCGCGTCGCCCGCCCAGAGCTCCAGGGCTGGGGACCCTCTGGGCTGGGAATGGGGGCACTTCGGCCATACCACTCACCTGGCACACTAGGGTTGGGGGCACTCCGGCCATGTTGCTTGTCTGGCACTCCGGGGCTGGGGGAGGTCTGGGTTGGGGGCGCTCCAGCCATGCACATTCCCACCCAGTGCTGGAGCTGGGGGCACTCCGGACACGCCACCCATCCAGTGAGGGGGCTGGCGGCCACAGGGGGTGATATGCTCCAGGCTCCAGTAGAGGAGGAGGGGCCGGAGGGAAGGGTGGGGCCTCAGGCAGAAGGGGAGGGACCAGAGGCTAGCCTCCCCCAACAGCGCGTTCACCTGCTGCCCATGCCTGAGACCCTGGAGGAGCCAGAAATCTGCCACAAGGTAACTGTGGTCATTTGTCCTAGAGTATCCTCAATGGCCCCTCGCACACATCTCTACAGAGGGGAAAGACAGGAGGATCCATGTAGCAATGGATATTCTGTCCCTGCCTCTCCATCCCATCCAGACCTACATCTGACATGCTCATGTGGAGAAACCCCCAAAGAACTTAGCTCTGCACTGTGTAGAGGGCATATGACCCCCTTCCATGACCATCTTTCCAGAACCACACCAGTTCCTCTCCCCAGGGGCATGATTTTCTCCTGCATCTGAAGTGAAAATCTAATCAGTGAAGGTTCACTTATCTAACCAAAATAGTTGCATTGTGCTTCTAAGCTTGAGGTTTGCCTGGGAAAACTAAGAAATCCAAAGTCAAAGGAAAAGCTTGCAGCTCTTTTAAAAAGCTTTGCTGTGCTCATTTCCACCAACTCTTCCACTGTAAACTGAAGGATACACAAATATTGGAAGTGCTGAGTGAAGAAGCATAATCTAGAACAGGGGTGGGCAAACTTTTTGGGCCGAGGGCCATATCTGGATGGAGAAATTGTACGCAGGGCCATGAATGTAGGGCTGGGGCAGGGAGTTGGGATGTGGGAGGGAGTGTGGGGTGCGGTGGGGGCTCAGGGCAGGGACTTGGGGTGCAGGAGGGGTGCAGGGTGCAGCGGGGGCTCAGGATTGGGGTTGGGGTTCAGGAGAGGATGTGGAGTGCTGGAGGGGGCTCATAGAATCATAGAATATCAGGGTTGGAAGGGACCTCAGGAGGTCATCTAGTCCAACCCTCTGCTCAAAGCAGGACCAATCCCCAACTAAATCATCCCAGCCAGGGCTTTGTCAAGCCGGGCCTTAAAAACCTCCAAGGAAGGAGATTCCACCGCCTTCCTAGGTAACACATTCTAGTGCTTCACCACCCTCCTAGTGAAATACTGTTTCTTAATATCCAACCTAGACCTCCCCCACTGCAACTTGAGACCATTGCTCCTTGTTCTGTCATCTGCCACCACTGAGAACAGCCGAGCTCCATCCTCTTTGGAACCCCCCTTCAGGTAGCTGAAAGCAGCTATCAAATCCCCCCTCATTCTTTTCTTCTGGAGACTAAACAATTCCGGTTCCCTCAGCCTCTCCTCATAAGTCCTGTGCTCCAGCTCCCTAATCAGTTTTGTTGCCCTCCGCTGGACTCTTTCCAATTTTTCCACATCCTTCTTGTAGTGTAGGGCCCAAAACTGGACACAGTACTCCAGATGAGGCCTCACCAATGTCAAATAAAGGGAAATGATCACGTTCCTCGATCTGCTGGCAATGCCCCTACTTATACAGCCCAAAATGCCGTTAGCCTTCTTGGCAACAAGAGCACACTGTTGACTCATATCCAGTTTCTCGTCCACTCTGACCCCTAGGTCCTTTTCTGCAGAACGGCTACCTAGCCACTCGGTCCCTAGTCTGTAGCAGTGCATAGGATTCTTCCGTCTTAAGTGCAGGACTCTGCACTTGTCCTTGTTGAACCTCATCAGGTTTTTTTCGTCCCAATCCTCTAATTTGTCTAGGTCCCTCTGTATCCAAT